AGGTATACGTGTTCATACTGTTGATTATTTAATTAGAATGGAATGCACAGAATGTCTAAAGTAACAGCAATAATTAGTGAAATATAAAAAGAGACTGTCGCTCTGCATAGAATGTTTTAATACCGATAAATCAGACTGATGAAATGGTTCTCTTACAAGGGGACTTGACATCTTGTGGACTATACAAGTTGACAACCTACAAAGGCTACTAGTATAAATCGTATATATTACTTACTGATCATTTATCCGATGAAATCAACTTAAGATGCTTAAGGCTGTGATTATTTTTAGTTTGTACTCCTGCCAAAGAGATTTCAAATAGTTGCTAGGAAACAGAAATGTTCTGAGAGCGCTGATCACAGGCCTTTGCTCTTTGTTTGCCCTTGACATCTCCTTTACTTTCAGTTTACAATATATTGAGGAATACAAATTAAATAAAATACAGTTTGCTGTCAAGAAAGGCTTAATGAATGTGCAGGTTTTCATTCATCAAAAGTTTGCAGAAAACGATTTTTGTAAAATGATTAGGTGTTGCAGTGACACTGTTCTTCCACTAGGGGACACTTTTCAAACCTCTGTTCTCCTGCAAGACTCTTTAAGTGTTCTCCAGCTCCAATAACCTACTTGTTTCATCACGACTCAATTTTCTCTTAAAGGCCTGAACAAAAATGTCTCTCCCCAGTGAGACCGATAAAGAACAGATTTCATAATGACACTGAGTCATCATGAACACTGTAAAACATAATCGACAAATGAAGAGACAACTTCTAGTATCCTTGAAGAACACACCCAGATCCAGCCTTCAGTGATCTGTGCCATATCGGACGTGGCCTCACCCAGATTTATAATTTACCACCTGATGGGCTTTTCTTTCATCTTAAAGCGTCCAATGTTGAGGTAAACCCACACTTATTGGTAACAGGAAACCAACTCTGTTCCCTGCCTTACATTCTGTGAATGTTCATCCCTGTAATAGAAAGGCAGAAAAGGTGTCATGAGTATCATAACGGATTCATTTTACATATGAACCATCACAGAGCTTCTCCTTGATGTAGCTGCTGGGAAAATACTTAGTTTCTTCAATGTTTGTTACAGACACTTGTGTTACATAGTGCAAAAGTTAATTTTAATATTATTCTTGAACATACTGGTATAATAAATAAACAGGCCCTTTAGGCTATATGAAGAAAACGCTACTTCTACCTCTATAATCAACATAATCAGCCCTCCCTGGTTCATCACCTTTACAGTTGCTAACGTTAATATGAGACTGATCAGTCTATTCTCATACCCAGTTGTTACTGCTAATACTACACATACTAGTATTATTATTACTGACATTGCAGCTTTCTCATTGTTGTTGTTATGTTTGTCTCTATCCATCTCCATCTTCCTTTATCTCCATCTATACCAATTTCTAAGGCCAACAGATGGCTGTTCAACATGAATCTGGTTCTGTTTGAGCTTTCTGCCTCTTAAAGGAAGTTCATCCTCACAACTGTAACTTAGTTAAATGTTGCTCAGTGCTGTGCTCATGTAAATAATATAACAATCAGCAAGGTCTTTTATCTGCTAAGTGTCTTGAGATAACATTTGTTGTGAATTGGCACTATAGAAATAAAGATGTATTGATTGATTTATCTTAAAGGATAAAGCTCTGAACAGGATATAACATCAAACATACAAAAATGAATCTTTTTTAACCCGTCTGTCTTTTTCTTTTCATCTCTTTGATTGTTACTCATCTTTAAGGTGGTGGATTCTATGTTCAATAGCCCCATCTTTTCATTTCATTTCAGATTAACGTCACAGATTACATATCCACCTCAAAGACCCTGACCCCCTCTGCTCGTCGATTCTATAAGGTTGAAGAAAAGGTTTGTTTGTGTTGCTCCTATGTACCTTTTGTTTGAAGAGATCATTGCCCTCGGAGTTCAAGGTCTTTGTTCCTGCACATTTGTTAGCAGAGAGAGATGAGGAGGAAAGCAACCTGTAGATTGAAAGGCTTTTATTTACTGGATACTGTATACACTTCAAATTCACAGCATTCACACAAGGCTACATTGCAAATCTGAACAGTCATTGCAGCATCAATCCGTGCATGTAAATCATACTGATACTGGTATTAATCGTTCACACAAAAGGGTTTGGTCAGTTTGCCTGCCTCTGTGCCGAAAGTCCATATAATATAAACAAAGTGTGTTACACAATGAAACATAATATCCCTTGGGTTATGTCATGGACCTCCTGATGCCTCCTCCTTTGATATTTTCACCTCTCAGAGAGAAATGTTCTGAACCTCACGTCCACCTCTCTTACATAAATATACTGCAGCAATACAACCCGACTCCTGTTGTTTAAGGTGGAAACTTTGGTTTCATATTTCCATCATGCTTTCTCAAAAACATCACTAAAATCAAACATCCATGTGCAGCTCGAGGAGATGAGCCATGTTCCCCTCTCTATGACTGTTTCTTTTTCATTCTTATAAAGAAACTGTTAGCTTCCAAAAGAACGTGGAGTTTTCTGCTCATAGCTTTGATTTATTTTGGCTGAGATGTGCCGTGCTTGAGGGGGGAGGGGGGGCAGGAGTTCAACATGTTCAATATTCTTCATACAGCCAAACGTTAATTTAATAACACCTCAGATGCAGCCGACAGAAGCAGGAATTCTAACAGTTCTTCAATTTAGTCTTGTTAAATCTGTTTGTAGACATCCTACATGATGGACCTGTCAACAGAGACCAGCTGTAAGTTTTAAAGCAGGTACTATGTCTGCTCTGTGCTGAGCTCAACAGTCCTTGTGCCTCTATTCCATTCAAAGATATTTTTTTTTCATGAAGAATGTCAAAGGCGGTCCTTGATGAAAAAACAAGAATGTTTCAAACAATAAAGACCTTCAGCCACTCTGAAATACAGTACGTCTATGGGACTTTGTACAATAAAGCAAAATCTCCACTCCAATCTTGAGTAACCTCAGCACAACCAATTAAAACGTCTTATTCTGCTCTGTGTTAATTAGTTGAAGAAGAAGATATTGGATTGGAAAAGACATACCCACCGTTCAATTCAAATGTTCAGAAAAGGACACCAAGCTCGATAACACAACTGTAACAGTGCATTAATGGACAGTCTGAGGCTCTGTTGTTTCTTTCAAATGAAGGTGTCAGATCTATCAATAGATGGATGGATAGATAGATAGATAGATAGATAGATAGATAGATAGATAGATAGCTGTACTTGATTGATCCCAAACTGGGAAATTCTGGTGTTACAGCAGCAGGTTGTCAAAGAAAATGACAGCAAATTAAAGCAACAGAAAAATGAATACACAGTAAGTAAACCCTAACAAATATAAAGAGAGAAAGAAATATAGACATATATACAGCCATAATTTAGCTTAACATTAAAAATAAAGTAAACTAAAAAGCTAAAACTAGAGTCTTTAAAAACTTAAGTCTGAGTGTATTTAGAGTGTAGAGTATATTTTTGAACTAATCACCAGCCACATATCCAAACTGAACAGAGTGGGGACTCCAGAGTAGGAAACTTTAGTGGTACCCAATGTATTCTGTTCTTCACACTAGTCGAAATGAACAAGTAATAATCCAACATGAATTTGGAGAATGTTAGATTTATAACTTGTCCTTTTTTTTACACAAATATAGAAAAAGTCATCTTCTGGCATAGGAACATTGAATAGCTAAGGAACCAAGAGGGAGATAGTGGAGACCACAACAGAGCCTTTAAAGAACAAATATTGGACATGCATTAAAACAGTTGGCACAAATCACAGAACCTCAAATGAAAATGCCTTAGTTATTATCGATCACGCTGATGCACTGAAACGCCTCTGTTGTGGATCTCTACGCTGCTGCTTTACCCAGATAATAAAACTTGAAAGGACATTGAGAGTGATGACTTTGCCCTTTTGTTAAAGTCTTTTTGTGGTCTTGCACCTGAAGATTTATAACTTTATGAGTATGCTCCTTTTTCTGCTGTTAATATTGGTGCCATCAACATGTGTCAAAACAAAACTTTCACAGTCATACTAAGTTTGTTTCGGTCTGAGAGACTGCCACTAAACACGCTAAGCCTCTTCTGTCCTGCATAGATCACACTGTGGATGGAGGAGAGTTTAAATCCTAGAGACTGTTAAATAACCAGGATGAAATCTTCATCTACCCATCATGGCCTCTAGAGGTCTCTAGGAGGACTACTGCTCAACTCTACTGCATTTACATCTTTAACTTGTTGGTAAACTTGTAATTCACCATTTACTACAGTGAATTTTATAAAACACATAGTAGATTAATGTAAAGCAATAGCCCAACATCAGTAATCACACTGATCCATTTGTAGCCTCTAATCTAAGTCAAAGTTGTTCTATTTTTCAGCTATTGTATTTCTATTTTCGTTTGCTAGATATAATCAACTTGGATATCGACACCATGCCACACCATACCACACTATTACAAGATAATCAGAATGCAGCTTTCCCCCTGAAATACAGAGAAAAGCGCATCCCACTAGTGCTTGCTGTGCAGCTATGCAATTAAAGCCAGTACTAAATTGAATTATTACACGGTAGACCTACTTTTCTGCCAGAGGGAAAGGAGACCTCTTCACCTCTGCATTAAGTGTATCGTTCTCTCATGCGTGAGCAGAAGTTCTCCACATTCCAAACTCTGAACAGGTGACAGATCTCAGGCTGTGTCGTGCTGGGCTCAGCTCAATCATATAAAATAGGCAGAGAAAAGGAAAGTACAAGATCAAAGAAGGGGTAAAATCACTGTAAGAAGTCACATGGGTGCTTGTTCACTATGGTAGTCCTGTGTGTCTAAGAAAGAAAGAAAATTCGTTCCTCCAGATGTTAATTTGCCAATTAAAATAACGCACTTCTTCACGATTTTCTCACCACGTTGTCGCGGCGTCATGCGCAATACTTAATAGTGCCATTGATGCGCAATTCTCCCACGCCAAAGGTAAACCAGCGTGACTAGGATCTCTGATATTTTTCCGTGTACTTCCCTCCCCAGAGACCATTGGTGAAACATACCGCGCATCTATAGGGGGGGTTTTTGCTTAGGAGGCGGACCTAACGCGACCCCCACAGTTGAGATTCAGATGGTTTTACAATGCCGACCATTTCTCTGAAGCGCATTCAGTAGCTGCTGGTCCACTGAGCGACGTTCCCAATGTGCTTTACAAACCCACGATTGCACATCTTTTATCACGTTTCTTGAGAAAGGGGAAGAGAAAAGACGCACGGGGAAGAAGATTCTGAACATCACATTTTATTCCTACTCATCAGTGGAATTATCTCAAAAGCTTCGTGACAACAACAATTGGTAAGACATGGCAGATCTTGTATAATAATAATGATAAACGAACATGTGTGGTTTGTATAAAGAAAGTATTGCACGAGTTTAGTCGTAAAAGGTTGAGGCTTGTGAAGTGTTAAAGCCTTGAGAGTTGTAGTTTTTTTTTTTTCTATCATTCTGAGTAGAGTGGCTCTTGGAGAAGAATGACAAAAGATGTTGGGAATATTAGAAACCAATTTGATCACATGACACCACGTACCAGGACATATGGCTATGTGTCTTATACGGGGGTCGGTGAAAAAGAAAGAATAGCATGTTAAGAGCTCCTGCAGTGAGCGCCAAGTCAAGATGTCATGACCATGTGCCTCAATGAGTGGGTGACAGATTTTTGCCTATCTATTGTCCGTCTGACTCAGGTTGCATTTTCAGTCTTTCTAAAATTGGATTAGACCCCAATTGTAAGTCTGCTTGCAACAGGTAAAATCCACATCTGGACAGCAGTCATCGGTCGACTGGACCAATGTGTGACTTTTACGCGGATTTAACTTCTGTTTGGTCGAAGAGTTTTGCAAATGTATCCTAGTTCAGTTGTATGTTTGATCCTTACAAACAGTCGCTGGCGAATTAATACAATTCGACCAATTAGTAACCATTGTCATCGAAAAAAATCCTGATGTGATTCTTTTTCATGCAGTTTTCACCTTTGCATACTGGTGGTATCCAAGCTTGGGGCCACATGGCTTCGCGTAAACGCAAAGACAATGTCCTTTTCCACCCACCAACAAAACCATTTCCGACTGAAACGAACAGCCAATAACATGTTGTAAATAATAACCAATCACAGAACATAAGCATATTCAGTCTGCGTCAAAGCGTGAGTAATTTAAACAGCAGTAGCTTTAGCAGCCTTTTAAAAGCACTTTGCCTTTTGTTATTGTGGGCTAAATATACCCATGTGGAGGAAGAGCGCCCTGTGTGGGAAGTTAATGCGGCACATTATCACTCTGCTGCCTGAGCCTATTACATGTGATGTTGTGTGTTATTATCAAGAAGCTGACAACAAAGGCTTTGGGTGACATAAATATGAAGTTTCCCCTTCCTGTTCCCCTCATGAGTGTTTGCAGACCGTCCATCTGTGTGTTCCTGCAGTCTTCTTTGAGCACTGTTTAGGCCTAATCAATACGTGCCAGTGATTTGTACGTCCTGCTGTTTCTTGTCATACACCGAGTACCATCTGCTTTTTGAAAACCAGTCTGCCATGATCAGCATATTAAATGCCAAAAGAGCAATTATGCTGAAACAAAAGTTAATTTATTCACTGTTAAAAGAAAATAAATAAGCATTTTGATCATCTGTTCATTTTTATTGATTTTCAAGCAGAATTATAAACATACCAGTTCAAACTTGTCAACTATTAGGATTGCAGGTTTAAGATTTGTTACAATAGTAAACTGTACAGACAGACAGACCTAAAAAGTATAGGCATATGGAAGGACTTGAGACAACTGTTAAGGCATTTATTTCAATTATATTTGAGATATTCCTAATAATATCAAGGTGCCATTCATATTGGCTGATTTGATCAAATATGAACATAGATTTTTCTGCTGATATGACGAGATGACGCTTTCATTATGTGAACACAATGCAAGCTGCTTATTATTCAGATACATTTATATCCTAGTCATCATCATCATAGATGATTGAAAAATATGTGCTCTAATATCATCATCCACTTTAGTTGAAAATATATCTGCATATATATATATCACTGTTACCAAAAATGTATAATCATTCATGGCTGTCATACTAGCATATAATGACTGCAAGATGAATCCATTAGTCCAGAAAACAAGCCAAATATTAATTGTCTTTGAATCCTTTTAAAATGTGTATGGTCATTACAGCTTTAATAGGTGAAATATGTTTGAAGAATTTGAAGGGAACTAGCCCTTTAAAGTCTATGTGTGAGTCTTGCGCCACTTAACTCTGCAGTTGTTTCAGGTTCATGCAGTTATGATTAAAATAAAAAATATAAAACACGCAGTTTAGACATTTTCTTTTAGTCAAATGTATGGCCTCTCAGATTTTAGAATCGAAGACTTCTACTTTATTTTTAATTTGTTCAAGTTTGGACAATCTTACGGCAATTTTCTGTGTCAGTCTGTGTATTTAAGGTATTTTGGGGGCACGTCTTAGACTTTGTCCCCATTGTCAACATGAACACCATGTATGGCTTTTCATATTGGGTTCATTGCAGTGGAGAAGTGGAGCAGATAAGCCCGGCTGCAGTCAGTGACCCCAGCGTGGTGCAGTGATCAAACTGGCGAAGAGTTTGGGGAGGAGCCGGACAGGTGCGGCACATGTGTGTGTGTGTGTGTGTGTGTGTGGAGGTCGAGGTTTCATGTGGGAAGCAGCCAGCTGTGCTCTTCTGTCACCCTAAGGAGACCCGTGAATATCCACGTTTGAGTCAGCCTAAGTGTTAAGTGTCAGACACTCTACAGTTTATTATTATCTTTGTTATGAAGCTCATAATCTGCAAGTCTGAACCTGACTGTATCATGTGTTGTTGTCTATTTATATTTAAGCCACTGGAACGACCTTGTTTCATCACCTTTGTTTATAATCTGTACATACCAGTGGATAGATTGCATTTTATAATAATAAAAACAGTCTTGTGGTCTACTCTAGGGATAGTTCTGTAAATAACTTAAATCTTCCCTGAAGCACTTAGATTTTAAAGATCATGCCTGTATGGAAATTGTCCCAAAAAGGAAAAGTTGTTCATCATTTTGAGAGAAAAAGTTTATCTTTCGCTTCTCAGTCTGTTCAAAGAGCATCTTTGTTTGCTTTTGTGATCTAGTTTATAGCGCTCACACTCCACGAGTTTGTTCCCTGTGGAGCAATCAGTGCCAACATTTAAGCTCTTAACAAAATGTATGATGCCTTTAAAGTTCCACAAAGAGCTACATGTTAAAGTATAAAGACACACAAGAAGTTCATCACGAGCTCTGGCATACAATACCTTTGACAGTTTCCAGATAAACATAAAACAACTTATATAAGCTTAAAAGGAAGGTTTTTACTGGATATGAGATTTGAAAGCACCTAGTTGAGTGCAACTGAAGTACACTGTAAACAACACTAACATTTTATTATATTATTATATTTACTTTCCAATGACAAACTCATTAGCTGATAGATGCCTACATACACATCCCACAGATGAAGAGCATTCATTTTCAGACTTGGAACATACAGGTCCAATTAAATCTCCACTAGCTCTAGTTTTGGTCATTACCGCCTCTTAAAAGCAATATCTGGCCCACTTCTATGTTCTCAAGCACGTTGCTACCTTTGTCTGCCCGCTGTTTGTTAAATCAAGCAGCATCGTTTGAGATTCTTCATTTGAAAGAGCTGCTTTCTGCAAACAGGAGAAATGCTGACCTATGAAAGTTATGAGAGCAAACCAAACTGTAGCAGTCCAGAAAACAAAAAACTTTTGTTTTATATTACAACATTGAGCTGAAATGCACCACGGAGTCAGGTAACATTTAAACACATTTGAGTGCTCATCTGAACACTTTTATTATATAATTAAATAGTGATTATAGCCACTTTAAAGCACTGGAGGAAATGATCACATTTTAAAATGTATAGCAAGGAAGGTCTTGCTAAAACAAGCTAGATAACAAATATGTAACAGTATTTTTTATTGTTTTGCATGAAGCTCACATCATTTTTACTCTTGTATTAGTATTTGATACAGTGAGTTCAAACCTTCAAAGGAGCACTATGTAGATTTGGTAGGGAAATTTGAAAGTGAAACAATTCTATGCTATATTTTCTGAACTAAACACACAAACTTTATTCAAAGGAAAAAATGGGTCCCTGGAACAATGTTTGGAGCTAAAAAAAAAAAAAGCTACAAGGAGAGTTACGGTTTCACTGTTGCGGGCCCCCCACCATAAGCATAGCTTTTTATCTTGACTCAGTTTTCCAGGGACCACATTTTCCACTGAGGACAGCTTGTGTATAGAGTTATGAACATATAACAGAATCTTGTCAATTTCTCCAACTTTCACATTTCTCTACCAATACTCCATAGTGCACCTTTAACAGAGTGTCAAACTACAACCAACGACACTTGTATAGCTACACAGATACTTCAGTAACTTCATATTTCCGATCTTGGATGTTGACGCTGAAACGTATTTTCACAACAGCAATGTGTACGACTTGTGATGATTCTGATGTGGGTTGGTCTGCAGTCTCTCAGTACCTAAAGTCACACTTGACCCCCATCAACATCTCTCATGTGATGTGTTTCTTTTGTATCCATCAATGTTGTTAAACTGGTGACAGATGGAAATATACCTGCTTACGAAAACATGTCCGCCATTAGGTTGTTTAAGATTGAATTTAGATTATGTTGTTAGGGAAATGATGTACAATATTGTTGTATCAAATGGGAGATTCTTTTTACAACACAGTCTGCTGTCTGTAGCCTTTTTGATCATGTTTCCACATAAAGACAGACCCTTTGAAGTGCTCTAGCTGCCTGAAACCCCTGCCTAGAGTGTAATTGCCCTGTAGTCTTTACCTCCTGCTGCCAGCTGTTGGTTTCCGGGCTATTTCTCAGAAAAGGGCCCTGCAGCATGTCAATTTGTACTCAAAACTAATGAAAGCTAACTGATTCCTGAGGTAACAAGGAGTAAACAGGTTCTTTTTATACCTCCTGATCCACTTAACCTTTGGTTCATTTTCTTATAATGGATCATTAGAATATTGCACAATGATATTATTATTATTATATTAAAGTGTGGTTGGCATTGGCATGAAAATAAAAAAACTACATTCAAGGTGCTACCTAGATGCGAGTATCTTCCTTCAATTTGTTGCTTGTATGCATGTTGTTAAAGAAAAATAGTTTGGTGTTCATATCATGGCAATCTTGTTTGCTAACATTCTTACAGTTTTCTTTATTTTAGAAAGGCAGACACCATTGCTTAATGGTATAAACAGAC